GTACATACATCTGATTTTACGCTAAATATTTACTGAAAATTTATTTACATTAAACTTCCTTTAACTGAACCACATTCCAACGCCAGTTGGATAGACTATAGTTACTATAATCGCGTGGTGATGTTACATAGCAAAATTATTTTGCCAAGTTAATTCACTATACAGATGTTAAATGAGGTCTTAACATCTGTAAGGCATTGTCATGGCTACTGGGCACAATTGCTGTAATGGTACTGAAGGTAATATTAAGAGCGATTTATTGAGCACTATGAAGCTCCAAACTTCAGGTTTTACATAGAAAATCTCATTAATGAGGTAGTGATTATTATTAGCCCTGTTTTATAAACGAAGAAACTGAGGCCTCAGAGAGTTACTAACTTACTCAAAGTCACACAATTCATAAGTGGCAGAGACAAGATATAAATAGCAGAAATATTTTTGGTCTTTTCCACTCATTATACTGCCCCAAAATAATTTACCTCTGACAGAAACTCAGATTTCCATTTAACAATCTGGGAGCAAGTCATGCTGTTCTGGAATGCATAATACAAAAATAATTTCGAATTTTATGCCAGTAATTCATCAAATCATCAATACAAGGTGTGATTTTCTACTTTATTATCATTGAATCACTTCAAGTGCTTAACATGTAAATACCAAAATAAAAGTGCATGCTTATCTTGATAAGTCCATGAGAAAGAATCTAAGTGACTACTTGCTCAAAATTTTATATCTGTGCATATTTGTGTTAATACATATTACTTGGGGGCATATGTACTTATTTGCACAATTTGAATAATGTGATACATTCATTTACCAAATAAAGCTCTTGGAAATTTCAATTATTGTGGCTGTAAGCCTAATGGTAAGGCTTAGGTACGTTCAATACTAAACCAGAGAAATCAGATTATTTACTATTTCCAAATGCAAAAAGAAGTAACCATGTTTTTAATAATGTAAGCTAGAGAGCTGGTATTCTTAGAACCAATGTAAGATGTGACTTTTAAAGTGCTCATTTCATGAAGGTGGAGAATGGATTTATAGTGATTTCTCTGAATTCTTTCCCCCACATCTCCCTCTACATCTAAATACAGAAGTCAGCACTCAAGACTTCAGCCATGGACTGTGGTTCTAAAGATTTCTTAAGCGAGAGAGCCAGAGATACAAACACTATTTTCAAAATGAGGTCAGCGTTCTAACTGCATGAGAGGTTCTAGGGTAAGGGAAGCTCTTATCATCTAGCAAATCCCAAGCTCTCCCAAGCTATCTGCTAGATACTTTCTACACACGATCTTTCAAATTTCATCCACATAACAAAGTTAGTTTCAAAGTAGTTACTTTTCTTCCCATTTTAAAGATAAGCAAACAGAGGCCCTGGCTGTTTAATGTGCTTGAGGTCACAAGACTGTTAAATGTCAGCATGCTAACTCAAACACAGATCTGACTTTAAAAGTTGCTCAGTTCTGTAGTTTAGAGCATCGGGTTCTCATGCTTAATTATTGATTGCATCAGTGACAATCCATGAATCATTTTAAAAGATTAAAGAAGAGAAATGGCATCAAAAAGAGTGTGAACAGCATTATGCTATGCCCTTAGACTTCTGCCTACACTTTCCACAATTATTAGTGCACAGTAATTATTCATTGAATAATTAAATGTATAGGACTACTGGTAAAATGAAGTGCTTATGAGGGGATAAAAGAAAAGAAGGGGTATTGACTTTAAAAAGAGACAGAAAGGAAGTATAGGCAAATGCAGAGGAAGAGATAGTAGATCCCAAGTAACATTATCACTTAGATTCCAAGCAAGGTAATATCAGGGTAATTTTTTTTTAAGAGCAAAAAAGAAAAGTGAAACTTAAAAACAGTTGTGTGAAATACTGAAATAATGAGATAATGACTGACACTGGCTTGAACTCTATTAGCTTAGTGTGGGTCTAGCTTTCCTTTCGAACAGTGAAAGATTCATAAAAACTTGAAGAATATTTAAGTAAGAGTCACAAATATTTAAACATTAAAAAATTTCACCATAGAAATGTTTGCAAATGTAAGATAATTTTTCTAAAGATTGTTTAGGTTCTGCCTAATCATAAGAGTTAACAAAGGTGTGAGCAACTACTAGATGTACCTTTTAGTTGGATAACAAATAAGGGGAAAAAATTGGCACTGGGGCATTTACATTTGATAAAAATGAAACACTTCAAACAAGAGTTGATTCATTACTGAATTGAGCCATCAAGAAAGGTTGTGGAGTCATCTTCCATGAAACTCTTTCAAACTCTTTAAAAATAAGATAAATCCTGATCCATCTTAAATGAAGTCAGCTCTATGCCTCAAATTCTTTAGATAATTTCCTGGTCTTTTGATTCTGTTCTATTTTTATTTAGAGAAAGCTGTCTATCTTAGAGTGACTATCAGGACTGGGTGGGAGGACTTTAAAATTAGGAGAACCTTGAAATCGCGCCTGGCTCATAACCTCATGTCTTAACCAATCATTTGTGGTTAAATTCAAAACTAGATGCTTAGTATTTTAAAAATTGTATCAGATATATTACTGGACTTAAAAAAAATGCTGAGAATTTTAAATGGGTCCCCTTCAAGGCTCAACAATTCCAAAGCCATAATAATGACAAGTAGAATTTTATGTGAGTGATCTGATTTAATTCTCACAAAATCCCTAAGAAGTGTGAATGCTATTTTCCACATTTTACAAATGAGGATATAGGAACAGGGAGAACAAGCAACTTGCCAAAAATCACTCAACAGAGTGGCAAATCCAGAATTTGAAGCTAAACCCTTAGAACAGCTCAATTTCTAACATGTTGAGAAACTGTCACTAAACTTAGTCCTGACTAAAGGAAAGTAATGAAATTTCTACCTTAAAAAATAAATATCCAACAGATATTCTTTTTTTAAATTATTTATTTATTTATTTGAGAGAGAGAGTAAGAGAGAGAGAGATCATGAGCCGGGGGGGGGGGGAGTAGAGGGAGAAGCAGACTCCTCGCTGAGCAGGGAGCCCGATGAGGGACTCGATCCCAGGACCCTGGGATCATGACCTGAGCTGAAGGCAGACGCTTAACCAACTGAGCCACCCAGGCTGCCCTCCAACAGATACCCTTTTGTTATGAATCAATCTCATTAATTCAGGGCTTTCAAAATCATGAAAACCCCTTTTGCTGTAAAATATCTGTAGGGAAAAACCTGTTATCGATTTTACAACAAACAAAAAAAGGAACTTTCTTATAGGCCCCCCTGCTTAGAGATACACATTTTTCCTTTAAAGTATTTACATATTCACATGTGCCACAGAAAAGAGCATGAACATTTTCATGATAACAACTAAATAAAAATTTCATTAAATCAGATACATAATATAAATTTAACTCAACAGTGAAAAATCTCATCCAGAATGACACATCATTCTTTACCTTGTTCCTCTCTCTGTCTCTCTTTCTGTAAGCTAAGAGTGCAAGTTTTTTTCTGGAAAAGCTTCCTGGGAAAGGTGGCATTGATTGTGCACTCTGCGTTTCATAATTTACCACCTTCTGAATCGGCTTACTGACTCCCAAGTCCCAGGAAATACTGTGGGCCCCAGCCTTGAGGAAAGAAGAAAAGCTGCACCTCCAAGTTTACTCTATGGACGGGGCAGCCACAGTGCACACTTTGCAAGTAGGCATATCCAAAAGGCCATCTAATCTAATTTTAAATGTAAAAACTCTTCTAAGTAGCATATACATACCTAATTCCATGAAGAAAGAACTATACAGTATATTCATCCACCCTTCTTAAATTAAATGTAATCCAACAGAAACAAAATAAAGTTTTCCAAAGATTTTTTTTTTTAAATCAAAGGAGTTTCTTCCCTACATTGAGAAGACAGAAGCATTATGCAATAAGGTGAAAATGCCAGAAGTCTACACTGTCTTTCAAACTCTTAAAATGTGGTATTATGGTACTTTAAATGTAACACATTTTGATCCAAAGTCTCATAGAACCATTATGCTAGAGTATACAGAATACAAACATTTGTGTGTATCATGAATAACATTAGAAATGACATCATAATAATCAGCTATACTGCATCTTTATTTTTGTTTGCATTATATTTTCCAGCTGCTGGTTTCAGAAAATTACCACTGGAGTTCTCTCTTCTTCACGCAGAGCAGAGAGCAATTTGCAAAGTCATGCAAGGGTGAAAATGTGATTGAAATATAGGGATCTTTCTTAATGAAAAATGTTACTGCTTTAGAAATTATGGATAAAACCATTTCAAAAAACTCGCTTATATCTTTAAGCCCTATGACATAATAGTCTCCATTTATAAATATACCATCAATTGTAAATTACTTGGCATCAAATATAAAGTTTTTTTTATTGAGTTCTTATGAGGTGTACATATTTACATAAAATTATATTGGTGTTTAGGAGTATTTTGATCAATTTTTGTGTTTCTCAAAATGGTTCAATATCAGGATTCTTAAAATCAAATTTAATTTTCATTCGTAAAAATGAAAATGTTGCCAAAACCTTGAATCAGATGGGAGTATGTGTTAATACTGTCTAAACTTCTAAATACAAACTGAGATTTCATCTATGATTTACAACATGACTAAATTGAAAATATTTCTTTATAGTATTGTTACCTGTTTAAAAGTTTAAAAATCATTCTCGATTTGAATGTAGATATAGCATAAAGATTTCTGTTCAAAAAAAAAGGCAAGTAGAATGAACTAATTCTTAGATGACTATGAAGTAAAAAAAAGATGGAGATTTCAAGTAGAAGTAACACTGGTTTTTATATTTTAACAAAAAGATAAAAATCTTCTTTAAATAATGATGTTTATTTAAACTTCCACCATAACCTTAGTACACACACAAATACACACACACACGAGCTGAGATTCTAAGAGTTTTACAACCTAATTAAAATTTAAAGGAAAAAAAAGTGAATTCCTGATAGTAGCAACAGATGGTTGAATTTTAAATTTTCTTTCCTACCTGGACCATCCCAATCATCTGTCTCAAATCCAGGCTGGCCGGGCTTTTCTGACTGTGTGTCTCCATCTGATTCTGGCGTCTCCTGGACTCCTTCATCATCACCTGGAAAACATCGACACACAGACAGAAGGGGAAGTAATTAAAGCTCTCTATTTGGCATTTAGATCCTGGTAAAGGGATACCCTTAAGCATATGTCTAAGTATATGTTTGCTACATATAGTTGTCATTATACTGATAAAATGCCCATGATTTATCATTTTGATATCTACTGTGGCTTTATAATAAAGAAAATCAGCATTAGTCATCAATAAATGAATAAATAAAATTAACTGCTCTAAACAAAAACACTTCTATAAAAGTTTTATTTGGTTATTAAAATTATATATAAAGAAGAAAATAAAAAAGTAGTATGTAATTACTATACTGCTCTCAGTACAGAAAACCTTAGCTCTCCTACTTCCAAATAATAATTTTTATAAAGGCAAGGTACAGCAAAACAAAAACAAATGAAGGCTTGGGGTAAGACATATTTACATGTTGGGCTGAATTTAGATTATTTTGAAGACTCCCCCCAGCTTTAAACTTGTTAAAACTTGGTTGTATTTTTTAAATGGGTATAAAAAGGCCATCATTGAATGATTAGCATATGTAGCATATGAGATGAGCCAGTGACTCAAGTCTTCACAATGCAAGAAGCTATAAAGCTATACTTGTTATTTTTATTTATTTATTTTTTTTTTTAGAGAGAGAGCGAGCATAAGGAGGGCAGGAAGCAGAGGGAGAGGGAGAGAGAATCTTAAGCAGGATACACGCCCAGCACGGACCCCATTGCATGCTCAATGCAGGGCTAGATCTCACGACCTCAGATCATGACCTGAGCTGAAATCAAGAGATGGATGCTTAACTGACTGAGCTACCCAGGTCCCCAAGCTATATTTGTTCTTGATAAGTGTAGCTAGTTCACACTGTTTCATGCCTTTCATTTCCACATAAGAAAAAAAATGTAATATATTTTGAGCAAAAAGTATAGTCATGGCAAAGATATATTAACAATGCAACTGCATTTTTAAAAGTAAAAAGTTTAATTTATAAGTACCTTCACTTTAAGTGATAAGGTAACTGCTTTATAGGAAAGTAATCCATGGTGACATGGTATACACAAAAATATTCCATAATATACCTACTATCATGATAATAGAGATCAGAACACAGAATACAAGAACGTGTGATGTCAGAAATAAAGAATGCATACCAAAAACCTGGCAACTAAACCCTGAATCTAATAATGCCAAAATTTTTAAATTAAATTGCTTGCCCACCTAGTCTTTCTCTGAAGTATTCAGTAAATATTTTCCATATAGTTGCCCAAATCTATAATAGTACTTAATTCTTTATACAATTATGAAAAAAATGCACTGAATTCTTAAAATCTTTACAAGTAACCTAGAAATTACAAAATTTTTCAGGAAACTATTATTACAATTGACATTAATGGGGTGTTGATGAATTTTGAAATTTAGAATCCATAAATTTTATATTCATTTCTATATATAGCTTCACAAAATGAATCATTTTAAAAAGTGGAATAAAGGTAGAGAGCATGCATTAGCCCAGTGACAGTTCAGTGGTCATAATTTCCACAACAGAGGATCATTGGCTCTGGCGGGTAACCAAGAATAAAACATACACCCCACACCACCAAACCCCATGTCTGGAAGTGGAGGATCTTTGAAAGTTGAGTTCTCTCTTCTTTTCAGGATGATCACCATGAATAGCAATGAAGTTTTTTTTCCATAAAATAATAGATACTGAGTATCTACCATGTTTAAGGAACTGTAATAGGTATAGAAGAATACATATGGAAAAATACAGTACCTTTCTGGAAGTAGTATAAAACCCATGTAAGAGAGTAAATTCACAAATAATGAGAGTGCAAGACAAGGTCCAAGTGCCATAAGAAAGGTACAAAGGCTCAGGAGTAAGAGAAGAGTTTTAATCTGTGCTCCTTTTTGCAGGTCACACAGAACAACATAGACACATCAACCGATTATCTTACAAGATCAATGGAAGAGTTCTGCTCTCACTTCTCAGACACAGAGAGGGATGAATCTCAGCCTAGACAAGTAGGCTCTACTGTCTTGTAATAGTTTCAAATACTGTGAACCCTGAACTAAGTGCTGCTCAGCCCAACCCTGCCTGTCCTGGCCCCTGTCTAGGGAGCCCCTTCATACCTCCCCTAATCCAGAGACGAAGGGTTTAAAGCCTGTTCAGCAGGCTCTGATTGGTCAGAGCCCAGGTTGTACCGGTTATTAAATACTTTAAAGAGTATCCCTGCAAATATGTAAGTATTGGACTAATGCCATGCAGGTAGCAGATTGGCACACCTGGACTCCTACAGTACTAGCTCTGGCAGAGAACCCTGAACTTTATATGAACTGGTTATTCTCTGCTTTGCCCCTTCCTGTTCACCTCAACTGACTCTCCTTCCTCTATGTTCTACTTTGTCCTTTGTGCCCCATGGAGGCAGAATTCTGTGGACCCCATCACTGGGGCTGCTTTGTTCTCTGATTTCTGGTTGGGTTCAATCAATGGGAGGCACTGACAAGATCAGAGGATTAGAGGGCAGGAAGAGGGAAGACAGGTCCGTATCCCTCAATTCTATCCTCTTTGATGGTCTCCAGTTGCAAGCAACGGCTGTTTTGTACAGTTAGCACGCCTGAGAAGTGGTCTGCCTCTTCTCCCATGCTCCCGCATCACTGTCACTTCCCATGACGCTTCAGATCAGGAGGGCTAACAGCTTCCCACTGTTTCCAGCCCCTGGGTGCTTCACATCCCTTGTTGGTTTGGTTCCCTTAACCCTATCCACACTTCGTACACTGCCCCTTCACCAAACTCTCTTTAGTGAAATCCATTGACCATCGGTTTTCTTCTGGGACTCTACTGAAGCACTATTATATTCATGGTTTTTGTCCAGTCATGGCTTATACAATAATTTGTAGTAAACTTTCTTTAAATAGACTCACTTTTTATAACATATAAACATATTTTTAAAAACAAAACTCCTTATCACTGCTATAAAAGAAAAATCAGTATTAGATGCCCATAATAGAAGGTAATAATAAAAATAAATACAATAAAAATAAAGGTAACATTATTAATTTCTCCATATTGTGTCTATTTAGACTCTGAGTCTCTGGTTTCATTTCCCTGTAATAGAAAGGAAAAGTAACAAGTTAAGCTATTTAAGTCACAGTAATATAAAGATGAAACATTCTCACTGATACACAAAGAATATAAGAAACTTGAAAATTTTCTCACCAGTTGATTCAATGCTACTTAATGCAATAATCAGTATAGCACCTTACCCTTCTTGAGTACCCCCAGGACTCCTGACCTAACTGGGGGAAACATGACCTTTTACAACACTTCACTCTTCATGGACACTAGAATCCACACTAGACTCTGCCGTCTACTCCAATAAGCTTTTGATTGCATTTCCACTTTTGAATGGAGGTTTAACTCAGAACAATAATGCAGGGGAGCTTATAAAGGAAAGTGTCCTCCCCAATAGTGAAAAGTAGAGAATGCAACCTATAATTTTAAACAGCATCTATTCCTTCCAAGCACTTTTCTCATGTCTTAGGAATCTTGAAACAAGGAGGGGACTCAGGAGATGATCTGAGCCAAATTAGAGAAATTTACTGACTACAAAATTGATGCACAGACAGGATCAGTAACTTATGTTTGATCTTATAGCTGCCATATTTATATCTGCATAAGGCACCTTTCCCGAACCTTCTCATGCTTGAACAATAAGTGCTTCCCAGCCATCACGGTGTGACTGGTTGAAACAGCTTTTGGTAGATGTCCTTTCCTCAACAAGCAGGAAGTAGGATTATGGGAGAGCATGAAGGGGCATCATAAAAATCACAAAAACAGCAGTTTATTCAAGGTTAGGAATTAAATTTGAGTCTCCTAACTGCCAGTCCAGCATTCTTTCCAAAACACCTTTTCTTGCCTCTGCCATGCACCACCCCCACCAGATGAGTAAGGAACTGTGCACAACTGAAATAGCTGAATAATCCCAGAACAACAAATAATGAAGCAAGCATGAGACATGCTGTTAAAAATTACATACCCAAGGGCTCAGATAGTAAAATTCTGGGTAGAATCACTTGGAGAAGTTAAGTTTTATATTCAAATACTAACTATACCACCCTGGTGGCCACACAAAGGAGTACATCTTCCTGAATTTTACTGTTACATTTAAATTGTTGGAAACATGTGGTGCCATGCACAATTTGATCAATCATTAAAATTTACAATGCATATTTTTGAAGGTACAGTGAGATAGCTACTTTCTCTTAAGGACCATATAATCTAGTAAAGGAGCTAGGTAATATGCATAAGAGAAATAACCACTGATTAAAACCTACAATCAAGGTAGACAATGAATAATTCCAAATGAAAACACATAAGATATAGAAATTCAGAGACCAGAAGCATAAAATGACATTGACCATGGAGAAGCTAGTATAATTAATTCCAGAGTTCTTCATATTGAAGGCAGTGAAAAGCATTAGAGGTATTTCAGTAGGGGGCTGATATGATCATGTGACACAAATACAGTAACCAACATATATTTATTGAGTTTCTACGAACACATTTTGTCAGATATCTGGCCTTTGAGTTCCCCCTTACTCTTTCCATAACAACACTCTAACCCATGTCTCAGACATTCTTGCCCAGAATTTTCGTGAGACTATAGTTAAGTCTACTCTGAAATATTTTATTAGACAAATTACATATTTAGAGGGAAAATAATGAGAAATATAGTGGGAAACAGGTATGTTTGGAAGACTATATTACAGAGTAATCACAATAATCACAAAAATCAGATGTTAAAAGAATCCAGTTGAATCTACAAATGTTCATCTTTATTGAACAGAGATGATATAAACCATTCTTTATTAATACATTAAATTAACTTTTGAGTCCCAGGCACTGTGCTGAGCACTAAGAATACAAAACAAAGATGGTTCCTCTTCTAATATAACTTACAGACTAAAACAGAGACAGATCAATAGATTGCAATCTCATG